TTGGCTGCAGGAGGTGGTGTGTAGCGGGAGCCGTGGAGATGAGCCGGGGAGAGTGTATTGAGCTTGGATTGGAGGTACTGTGAATGCCAAGCTAACACCGGCCTTGAATACCAGGACATTGTGCAGAGGGTAGGACCTCCTCAGTGGAGTGTGCAGTAACCACGGCTATGGAGGGGCAGAAAAGGCTTTAGGACACGAGGCGGGCTGGTGTGTTTCAAGCAGTGGTTGAAGTGGTCTGCGCCTGCCTCGTTGGGTGTGGTAGGGCAGACAGGCTGAGGAACCCAAACAGATCCCTCTCTGGGAGGTGGAGAAGCCACCTACTGCCTCCGTGAGCCAGGCTTTGATCATCCGCTCCTGCTCCAGGAGACCATCGATGGACTGAGCTCCCAGCTGGAGGCCTTCCAGGCCAAGATGAAGAGGGTGGAGGAGTCCATCCTGAGCCGAGACTATAAGAAGCACATCCAGGTGGGTGGCAGGACACCTGGGGCCTTTCCTTCCGGAATCTCCAGGGAGGTCGAGGTCTGGGCCACAGGAAAGGCCAAGCCCTCTTCAAGGACAGAGATCAGACTTGACATTCTTCTCTTCACCAGGGACCGGAAGACACGGGGTCCCCCTGTCACTGGGGCGGGGGAAGCAAGGCTCAGAGAGACGCATATGGGTTAGTAAATGCTCTGGACTCAGGGAGAATTAGGTGCAAACGGCAAACCGACCACTTAGCACAGCAACTTAACCTGTCTGAGCCACGGTTTCCTCATCTGTGATGTCTCAAGGGATGTTATTGGGATAGAATGAGCATGTGAAGCACTGACCGTGGGCCAAGAAAGGGAGGAGACTTCTGTAAGTCAGACCATGAGTTGGAGGCAGAACGGGGAGGAGGGAGACAGCGCGTGCCCTCTGCCTGCTGGTCTGATGAAGCCACTCATGTCCCTGTCTAGGATTACGGGAGCCCCAGTCAGTTCTGGGAGCAGGAGCTGGAGAGCTTGCACTTCGTCATTGAGATGAAGAATGAGCGTATTCATGAGCTAGACAAGCGGCTGATCCTCATGGAAACAGTGGTACGTGGAGGAAGTGGGGGCAGGGGTGTCAAGGGGGATGCAGCCTCAGGCCTCTGCTTTCTGAGCATTTCCTCAGTGGGATGTGCAGAGGGTGGGACCCCCTCAGTGGAGTGTGCAGAGGGTAGAACCTCCTCAGTGGAGTGTGCAGAGGGTGGGACCCGGATGAGGCCCCCACCAGCTCTGACCTGCCACCCATGCTGAGATTGCTCTGTGGCCAGTCTGGGTCAAGCAGTGGCTCCTTGTCATCTGGGTCCTGCACTTTTCTTGGCTACTGGTGTTGCTGTCACATGGGTGACACCAGGGTGCAGCCTGGCTAATGAGGAGGGCCTGGCAGATGTCACGTGTCAGGCAGGGGCTGAGGAAGGCTGAAAACCAGACAGATATGGGAGGCCAGAGTGAGCAGGGACAGGCCTGGGAGCAGCGGGTATTGAGGACACAGGTGGCTGTGTCTGCAGGAGAAGGGAGGCCTTGGAAACCAGGGGTTGGATCTGCATGAGATTACATGGCTCTGGAAGAAGTCTCCCTGGCCTGTGCGTGCCACAACCTATATTTTAATCAGACATTTAATCTCAAATGTTCCCTATTCATTTTGTCCAACCATTTTTATGGCGTAGCAGAACAGGCACACTTCATTTTATTTCTATATAGTCTATCCCCTGATTTTTGGAGAACCAAGAACATCCTTTCTCTTCTGAAATGATGGAGACACTAGGTGGTGGTGGCCGTATCCTTTTGTAACGTTCTCATGTGGCCAAATGAAAAACGGGCCGCCCCCTGTGCCTCCTCAGCTTTATTTTTTTTTTGAGGCATCTTCTTGCTCCATGAAATGTAACATTTGGTCTAGAGTGAGTCAGCGTTTTTAGGGCCCACGGATAAGAGGGAGGTGACGGCACACATTGTTTGGTGGCCATCTGAGCTCGTTCTGATTTGTTACAGAAAGAAAAAAACCTGATGCTGGAGGAGAAGATCACCACCCTCCAGCAGGAGAACGAGGACCTCCACGTCCGAGGCCGCAACCAGGCGGTTGTGTCCAGGTAGCTGTTCCCCGGCCTCCACTCCTCTACCCTTGTTGCCAAAACCTCCAGTGGCGCGTCTCAGAGAAGCCCAGGGAATGGGCTGACAGGTGGGCCCAGGCCTATCCGGGGAATGTGGCTCCTCCTTCCCTGGGAGCCAGTATCCCTAGGGACCAACTCTGCCTGGAAACCTAAATCAAAGGCCCTGATTAGTATCCGTTTGTCCCCATCCTGGCTGAGGGGGCTTCATGGGAAGCCCAATCTGAGACTAGCTCAGGAGGCCCAAAGAATGAATGAGTGTACGTGAATGAATCAGATCTAAGGGCTTAGTAAATCAGAGCTGATATCATGTCAGACATAATTTGATGAATACATATCACCTATCCTCCTTATTACTCTAGGAGCTGGGTCCCATTATTCTCATTCCCATTTTACAAATGAGGGAACTGAAATTGGACACGAGTAAATAACTTGTCCAAGGAGACACAGCTAAGGGATGGGGCAGATTTGAACCCAGAGCTATCTGCCCATGAGGGCTCCTTGGTCAACAGATCAAGTCACCTCTTGCATGCGAGGGGGCCTGATGGGGCGGTGGGGACCCTGGGGCAAGCGGGTGACCCATCTATGGAAGAGGTCCTAGAGGAACGGGTTGGTCTCTGCAGCCACTGGAGACCCTGAGGGGCAACCCTGGCCTCTGTCTGCACCCACAGGCAGCTCTCGGAGGACCTGCTGCTCGCCCAGGAGGCCCTGGAGAAGGAGTCGCAGCTGAGGCGACAGCTGCAGCAGGAGAAGGAGGAGCTGCTGTACCGGGTCCTCGGGGCTGACGTCTCCCCCGCCTTCCCCCTGGCCTCCGTCACGCCCACTGAGGTCTCCTTCCTGGCCACATAGGCTCAGGGCCTGGCCACCATGCCGCCTGTGTCACCGCTCCCTCTGCAGGACCTTCCGAGGAGACGGCAGGAGCCTCTCGTTCTGTCCCCAGGAGGGACGAGGGCAGGAGAGAGATGGGAGCCAGGGTGTGTGCCCGGTGAGCCGCGGGGCTTGGGCCACGTAGACTCACCCACGGGCGTTAGAGGCCCCAGGAAGCCTTCCCTCAAGTTGGCCCAGGGAACAAGCAAGAGGAGCCCTTCCGCCCCTCCCTCCTCTCTCTGTTCAAATCAGGGAGTTTTGAGGCTTTTCCCAGGGGGAGCCTGTGCTGCTTGGAGCATCGGACAAAGAGGACACAACCTCCTGGTCTTAACTTGTCAGCTTTGCTGCCAGCTCATCAACCTACCCCTAGATGTCCACACTTCTGCCCTGGCCTTCTCTCAGCCTCAGTTTACCACTCCTCTAAAGCGGATGGGGGAACTGAGCAAATGACTCTTATGTCACGACAGTGTTCCATTCTAGGATTGTCTGAAGGTCAGATAGGGACTTCGGGACAGGGGAGGAAGTGGGCCAAACCCTACGATTCACCTGGGAAAGGGAGCATCTGGGAGGGGGTCAATGGAGGCCCTTGGGGCTGGCAGTGCCAGGGGCCACCCAGCCAAGGCAGGGTCTGGGCAGGGCATCGGACATGCCACTGCCCCTGCTCCCAGAGTCTGGTCAACCCAGGGCGTGTGGCCAGAGCTCCTCCTTGACCAGGCAAAGCTCACTCCTCAGCCCTCCAGGTCCTCAGTCTCAGTGCCATGTGGGCACGGGGCCCACCTGGTGCATCTGAATCACTCCACAGCCAACGCTGGAACCTCCTCTCTGTCCAGATGAGGAAACCTAGGTGTGGAGTGGGGCTCACGGAGCCAGGACAGGGGCCTCATCTGCCATTCAGGTCTCATCGTGTGCTTTTTCTTTCTCCCCAGGCTCTGGGAAGATCAAGTCTGTGACAGTCTTTCTCCTCCTTCCTCTCTCTGGCCCCCACTCACTCCAGTCTCTCTTTTACTCCTGCTCGCACCTTAACTCCTTCTACCAGCCCTGACCCCAGGTCCCTAGCACCTGGCCCTCCGCTTCCCGACCAGTGCAAAGGGGTGGCTGGAGCAACTCACCCGGGCAGGCCAGTCCGGCCCTCCTATCTGTGGATTTAAGATTCTTCTCAGGAAGCTTCCGGTCAGCAGGAGGCTATAATAACAACCTTCCTTGCATAGAGCATTTTAATTAAATGCTTTCCAACACACCTCCCCCTCCGATCTGCATAAAATATTGAAACAGGTTCTTACCTCTCTTCAACATCAAAGCAGACAGATCACAGGAGCCCGAGGGCCTTGCCTGAGGCCCCCAGCCCTGGGCCAGCTCGTAGGAAAAGTTAGTCCACTAGAACTAAGGTTTCCCCCCACCGTCCCAGCTGCCTTCTTCATTCATTTCTAGTTCTGGGGGTTCTGCAGGGCTAGGGGAGTCCGGCGGTGGGCAGACGGGTTATCCAGGAGCCTTGGGGCAGCTCTGGAGTGAGTTACACGCGGACTTCTTCACGTAACTTTCCCCAAAGCCTGTCTGGGATACACTAGTTCATTGGACACAACCAAGAAAAGTGGTGGCCAAGTAATTTGAGCAACTCTAGGTTCAATCCGATGAAGCAGATCTGCCAGCTGCAGGCCTTCTCAGAACCTTTAATATGCTAACAGACATTTCAGAGTCCCAGGGAAGAAGCAAAGCGTTTCCTAAACTTCTCTGGCTGCGTTCAGAGCGCTTCCTGCGGCGGCAGAATGCCCTTTGGAAAGCCTGTTTCCATGGGAGGGGCTGGGCTGGAAAGGGGGCAGGTTGTGGGGAGCAGGGTTTCCCTGTGTAGCCTGTGGTGCCTGGAGGAGGTAAACTGTGGTCTTAGCCTCACCCTGGGGCAGACAAGCTATGGAAACCAAATAGAAACACAATAGTATTCTCTTGGCCTCTGTGTTTTCCTGGGAGAGGGAAGAGGTGGATCCTGCTGATGACCTCTGCCAGGGGCAGGCATCTGTGAGGAATAATCCTGGGGCCTGGGTGGCCCAGCAGGGTCTAGGCTTCCTCCCGGGGTGCTAGTGCCCCCCTGGCCCTGGCTTTGCCCAGCCCTGCACCTGGGGTTGGAATGGAGCTGGCTTTCAGAGCAGGTCAGGGCAGGGCGTGAGGCAGTGAGCGTGAAGTGAGGGGTGAAAGTAGAGATGGGAGAGTGTAAGGGGTGAAGGCTAAGGTTCTTTCTCCCCAAGGGGGGGCACCTCCTTGGCATAAAAAACACCAAAGTTCCCCCCAATTACCTACCCCTGCTTCTGCTCACTGCTCATACACAGATGCCTGCAGTCAGGGAGGGACTAGGAAGGGGCAGGGGAGACTCGAGGGCTCCGGGTCACATGGACGCGGGTGGTGGCCATCCCAGTGCCCTGAAGGTTGGTGGCCCGGCAGGTGTAGATGCCAGCGTCCCCAGCCCGGGCCTCTTCCACATACAGGGTGCTCCCTGCCTCCTGCTGAGCCTGGCCCTCCCTGTGGACCACGTCAGCCCGCTCACTGACGTAGGGGGGTCGGCCCATCTGTAGGGAAGAGATAACCATCTGTCAGCTTCTCCCAGTGCCGTCTCTCACTCAGGCCCCAGCAGGTAAGAGGTACCACGTATCCTTCCGGGGAAGGGGAAGTGACTTGCCCAAGACCACAGCTCAGTGTCAGAGCCCCCGAAAGGCCAGGTTTTTTTGTGGAAAATGTGAAGCTTGTCAAGTCCCTGGAGAGCAGCTGGGGTCTCCTCCCCGCTCACGGACACGCAGGGGGTAATGGGCGGAGCAGCACCTCTCTGGGTGGGTGGGTAGCACTCTGGTTCTGTGGGGATGTCAATGGCTACTCCCTCCCCGAAGAGGGGAAATGGGGGACTCATTATCAAAATTGCCTGGGAAACACTGAGTCAAGCAAAGTTAACTGGGGAGACGCAGACCACTGCATCTGTCACATGTGCAGGTGGGTTTGAATCTCCAAAGTGGGTGATGGTTTTAAGAGGCAGTGTTTTCCTAAGAACACCCTTTTTCGAGGAGAAAATGTTTGGGGAGATGTTGGCAGAGGGAAACCATGGTCTCCCAACCATCTGCATGTCCTTTTTCTCTTATTGGGTCTCAGCTTCCACTTCTGACAAATG